CATGGCTGGCTGAGGAATTCTGGGAGTTGAAGTCCACCCGTCTTAAAGCGGCCGAGGTTCAGAAACACCGATTCATTCCTTTGCATGGTGATATGGTTTTAATTGTTACGATGCTTGCAAGCTGCCCAGAATCACTTTTTGGGACATGAGCGGCTATTTCAATAACTCCGTGGGAAAGAAAAAGCTACCGCTGCAAACCGCCTTCGCAAAAGCCAAACGCGAAGGCGGCAACAATTCACGACCGCGGGCCGACCGCCCAAGAGGCGCTCCACGCATGCGCACCTTGCTGCCGCTGCCCAAGCCAAGCAGTGTGGATGCCCTCGGAAACTACAACTCCCAAGATGCTCGGCGGTACCTCTCGCCCAATGGGAGGAGAAGGACGTGTAACCCTTCGCTGTCCGGAGCCGAGGGCGGCGGACAGTCGAGAGCGAGCGCGGAGCTGCTGAGCAGAAGCGCTGGTGGAGGCAGGCAGGCTGTGGCTGGGAGCGCTGAGTGGTGCCATTTCTCTGCCCTCTGCCACCCCCACAGTTTGGGCTCAGGTGAGTTGCACCTGTAGGAGCGGATTCGTGAGCAAGGAAGAGGCTGACTCGCCAACGAGCCAGCTCTATCTTAGTTGCCTTTTAGCCCCGAGCAATGTCTCTTAAACTTTTTGCCTTCGGGGCCCCTTCCTGCTTTTAAAAATTACGGAGCTTTTGTATGCACGGGTTATATTTATCGACACTGAGCGTGTGAAGAAAGAAAACCGACGCGTTCCGGGATATTTATTTTGTGAACCCTGTAAAGATACCGCTATGAATCCCGTGAGATATTGACTTAGATAAAGTATTTTTCATGAGAAAACCCTATTTTTTTTTTGTACAAATAAAAAATAATAATGAGAAGAGGGGCCTTGTTTTAAAAGTTTGCAGATATCTTCAATATGTGGCGAATCATTCTGGTTTTGCGGACCCCTGAGAGGGTCTTGGGGGATCCCCGAGGGTCCTCGGAGCACACTTGAAGAAGCACTGAGCTAGCGGGTCGGATGAGGAAGAAGCCGGTGGATTGTTCCCACCGGCCTGTTTTCAGCTCTGAAAGCAACGTAAATTAAGAACGATTATGTAATAATGAATTACGTCAACATGCATGCTGTTGCTTTTCTCCTGTACCTTTACCTACACTTAGGTCTTTTGTTCCTCTCTTCCCCCCCCCCCCGCATTCCTAGGATGCCAGAAGGCCCAGAGCTCTTTCTAGCCTGCAGATACATCAACTCAGAGTGTGCCGGAATTACATTTACAGGGAAGGTAGAAAAATCAGAAGTTAGCAAGAATCCGGAGGTGCCTTTTGAGAGCAAAGGATACCTGATCTTGGCTGTGTCACGGGGCAAAGAGCTGAAGCTCGCTCTGACACCCATCAAACAGGAGAGCTCTACCGCGAAACGGCTGGGATCTCAGCGTCCGATGGATGTAGTTTTCCGTTTTGGCATGAGTGGGAATTTCAAGCTGGCCCCGGTTTCTGACATGCCCAAACATGCCCACTTGCGTTTCTATACCCGAGAGACGCCACCCCGAGCCCTCTGCTACGTGGACGTCCGGCGTTTTGGCAGGTGGGAGGTGAATGGCACCTGGCAGCCAGACCGGGGGCCCTGCGTGATGCTGGAGTATGAAAAATTCAGGTGAGGGGCTGCCTCCCTACCAGCCTGCCACTGCACCAAACATCCAGCTTTTACATGCATTTCAACCACTTGGTGTTCTTGGAGTTTAAAATGCAGAGTTTTTTCACAAGCGGAATCGACATAGCAGGAAGGAAATCTTGTGGTTTGTCTTCAAGATGGGATGGAATACAACTCCCATCATCCGTCAGCTAATGGCTGGAGTGACGGGGATTGTGGCCCGACACATCTAGAAGCAGCCAGATTCGAGAAAGTTGGGGCGGACGTAGGATCCCGTCTTTTGACAATGACAGCCCAAACGTGGGGTTTATCCTGTCAGTAAGAAGAACAATCTCCCTATTTTGTGATTGATAGCCTTTTCCCCTTCTCCCGTAAAGTAATTGATTTTTTGAAGTGTTCTCCAACTTTACCTCCAAAGGACTTAAAGCTACAAACCTCCCTTTCATTTTCTGCTTTATTCTCAACAACCCTGTGAAGTAGACAAACGGGAGAACCATTAACAGTGTTTACCCCTGGCTTGCCAGTTGTAGCTGCAGCTGACTGGGATCACAAGACCTGCTAAACCATACACACTTTGTAACCTAGAGTGGTTGAATTCCTGTGCCACGCTAAGTACAAGGTGTGAACCAGCCAGTGACTGGCCCACGGTGAGAATTTCGGCTGGGAAAGGGAGTAGAACTAGATTTCCTCCATGTTGTCTTCTCATTCCTACACTGCGTTTTTCCTTTCTAGATCATTTGAGTGCCGAATATTACATCTGTAAAGAAATGTAGAGTTGAACTTGGGAAAAGAAGGAGCCAGGCATTAAGGAGGGCCTTAGAGAAAAGATGATATACTCCAGAAATAGAAGCCTGAGAAAGAAACACAAAATAACCCCACTTTGATTTTATTTAGTATAAGATGGGGGAGAAAGAAACTTGGAGAGGCCTTCATGATTCTGTTACTGAACCCTATCACAATAAAGGAGCATTCCTGGAACGTCTGCGGTGTCTGTTTTTTGAGCTGGCTGACCTCAAAGGACTCGCGTTAATCTTGAAAGCCTATCCAAGTTTCTCCATCTTATACGAAACAAAATCAAGGTGGAGTTAGTTTGAACACGTTTCTCACTACTTTCAATCTTTGGAGGCAAAAAATCTGAAGAAGTCTGGTTGCACCTTTTCCAACTAACAGATCTTATAAAAAGGGTGAGGCTCATGAAAGCTTGGGCTTTTTAATAAAATTAGTTGGAAAAGGTGCTACCAGAATCTCCCCATTTTTTGCTACCCTTAACTAACACAGCTCTCCTCCTACAATGTCTTCGATCTCTGGACTAAATCATCTCTTCTCCAAATCCCTCCTTGCTGGCTCTTTCATATCGCCCCCAAGGGCACCTCTAAATTCCTTTGCAGAATCCAGATACAATCCAAGCCTTTCCCACTTGGCCTCCACCCTGCTAACAAATCGTGACTTGCTTTCCAGGGACAACATCCTGAGGAATCTCTCTGACAAGGCCTTCGATAAACCCATCTGTGAGGCTCTGCTAAACCAGAAGTTTTTCAATGGGATTGGCAACTACCTTCGGGCTGAAATTCTTTACCGGTGAGACTGTGAACTGGCTTGGGGCCTCTGCATGGGTATCGGCTGGAATGTGTAGGGAACTCTGTGGTCCTATGCTGGAGAATCCAGAAGACCTCTTTCAACTCAAGGAGAAAACATGTTGGAAGTTGTGTTAAGGCTTGCAGGTTGACTACAGATACAGCGGCAACTGCCTTGCAAGCAGGAAACTGTTCTGTGTACTTCTAGGATAGGAACCTGTGCTTTGACCCCCCCAGATGTGGGGTTGCAGGCAATATATGCTGTAAATACTTATGGCCATGGAAGAAGGGTACAGAGATGTGTGGAGACCAAAAGTGTCATGGAAGATACTTCTTTGCCACCCTAAACTATGTCCATCTTTCTCCTGCCAAAGTGTGTTGCTGAAATTACATCCATCTGTAATGGTATGTGGGAATGACCTTGGGAGACAGCCTCAACCTAGACAACACACTGATAAATGAAATCTGAGTCCAAAGGAGGGATGGGGGTGGAGAAAGCATTTCAGAAGGGACCCTCTCTAGTTTTCAGGAGAGTAGAAGTAAGGGAGGGAAGAAGTACTTTCAGACTTGCAAGATTGATGTCCGTCCTTTGGGGTAGTCCAGCCAAGAAGCACCAACCATGAGTACTAACACCATCTGAGCACTGAACCATCTTTTCCCTGACTTCTTCTAGATCAAAGGTCCCTCCCTTTGAGAAGGCACGGACAGTTCTGGAGGACCTGCAGCGTGGGATGCAGGTAAGACGCTAGGAGAAGCCCAAAGGGTAGAGCGGTGCGCTGTTTGGACCTTAAGCAGTTGTAGGTGCTCCAGATCTGGTCTCGGCCTCCTCCTTCAACCTGTTGGCTGTTCCTGGAATCTCACTGTTCTTGTGCAGGCTCAAGAAAATCACCAGCCCTTAGCTCAAATTTGGCTACTGTGCAATTCCAGGGAAAGGCATGGCTCTTTCAAGAAGCAGCTCGTGATTTGATTTGAGGCACCCTTGCTGTGATGGAATGATTTGGTGAAGGTCGCGCTCGGGGAGATAAGCATTTCCTTAGCCCCCAGAAAGAGCGTGGGAAGGTGAAGAGGATGAGACTGGCACCACCCTTAGGAATTCGCAGTGTTTGGTTGCTGGCTTGGGAAGTTTAGATTCAGTCTGGCAAGATTCTGTCTTGTAGGTGGAAGCTAATAAATGCTTTCGAACTATATCTGTACTGTCTCATGGAGTTCTTTGGACTGAACCTGGCATCAATCTTACCAGATTCAATCTAAACTTCCCAAGCCAGCAAGCAAACACTGCGAATTCCTTAGGGTGGTGCCAGTCTCATCCTCTTCACCTTCCCACACTCTTTCTGGGGGCTAAGGAAATGCTTATCTCCCCGAGCGCGGCCTTCACCAAACCATTCCATCACACTTGCCCATTTCAGATTTGAATATTGCCCATCTCCACAAAAGTGTCCACTTGTCCACTTCCCTCTTGTGAACCATCCAAGTTTGTCACATTGCAGATTTTTTGAGTGGACAAAGGGTAATAGGGAGAAAACTTTATTGAACTATATGAAGAAACACCCAGTTACTAGTTTCTCCCAAGTATATTATTAGCTTGCGAAGAGGCTGGTGGTTCATGTTTCTTCTCTCGCCTAGTGTGTTATGGTTAAATTCATGGAGAAAATCCATCTATGTAGTTGCTAAGAGTTGACCCCGACTTAATGGCACATAATCAAATCTAGTATTCTGTTGTTTGGTTAATTTTTCAAAACCTAGCTAGTGGATGCTCCCTGCCGATCCTACTTGCTCTTGATGAGCGAAGCAGGATCAGACCTAGTTAGTACTTTATTATGGAAAGCCAAATCTATAGTTACAGAGTAGACCAGTGTTTCAACCTTGGCAACTTTAAGATGTCTGGACTTCAACTCCCAGAATTCCCCAGCC